CGATGTGGTGTTTTTCGTTTTGAGTAATTGATGATTGATTACTGAGCTTAGAACTAATCACTACTTGTTGATTGTTATAATGGACAAATAAGAAATGTAATGAAAAAGGCAATATAAAACAAAAAACTCTATGTTATGAATGATAAAGAGTTCTAATACAATCTATCTCTAAACCGCAAAACGGACAAACAGAATCCCCAATACAAACACCATCTCCATCACCATCAGGTTTGCCAATTCCACACCATCTCGCACAATCTACTGCAGCAATCATATGTCCACACGGTACAATCACCGAATCCGGCACGTGTTCCAAAATATCCTGGTTCGTATCCAATAATAATGGTTGATAGTCACCCTTGGTTCTGCAAATCGGACATGTGGTAAAATTTTGAATGGGAGAGTGATACGAAAACGTATGTCTGGCGGTTAATTATGTAGTGTTACCCGCATCCTGTAAAGAACCAAGGCCGATTTTCATTTATACAAGCTTGCTTCTTCACCCTACGAGACACTGGTTTTTTGGGAAATACGAATTGTTGCCACCATGTGGTTCTACAATGACATGGTATAGTGGTGATATCGTCGCATGGGATTTCGTCGAGTGTGATTGGACAGACAATGTCTTTCATCATGTTTTTGATTTCAAGGGTCATTAATGATTCTCGGGTTTCAATGGGGATTGATAGTGGTAGATCTTGTTTGATGAGCTCATTCATATTGTCGTCAATGACTCGTGCTGTATCGCCTCGATTCAAATTAGTTTCGAATATTTCAACTGTATCGTTGCCGTCATGAGAATCGCTTGGTTGATCAATTGGTTCATTGTTAGTTAATGGGGATATGCAAGTGCGATTGGATTTCCAAAGGTACATGTACCCATTGGAATAAATCAAGGTACCATCAACTAGAGTATTGGAAAAAGTACGGACGAGTGGACCTGGTCTAGTGAACTCTTTCTGTACAGTATCATCAAAAATATGTCCCAATCCAAGCATACTCAATTGAACCCATGCTTTACCAGGTGGTAATACTAGTACAGGAGATTTTGAGAAACTATCCACACATCCTTCAGTAGTCACCCATTTCTTTACCTTATCCACACATTTTAGTTTTGTTTTCGATAAAGTACCAGCAAAGATTTGAACCTGTTGACTATCACGATCACATATCAATCTAAAATTCAACTTGTCTGGATGATTTTTGAATTGAATTAAATCATGACCTGTTGATGGACTGGTATTCCAATAGTATGACCCTTGAATAGGTTCTAGTTTCGATTTGATTTCTTGTGGTTTGATCGATTGGATTTGAATGGAATTCTTTTGTGCTCGATTTACTTTCTTTATTGTTTGGAATAGTTTTTGACAAGTCATTTTAAAAGTGGATTTCAACTTTAACACAGATTTGGGCATGAATATTGGAGGTTCGACAGGTAACAAGCCATTTGGAGTCGTACGTTTTGGTATATAAATAACATGTTCTTGATGATGTTTTTGACATTTTGGAGAACCTATTTTAATCAATCTACCATAAATATCATCTTGATTAGATTCACTCTTGAAAGGATTCTTGGTCATCTTTGTGTTAAAGTTTAACATGGATAATTTCACTTCAGTCTTGGAATCATCCATTCTTGGTCTTCAAAAAAGTTAAGTTTATATTGTTTATATGGGAAAGAGTTTAAAAATTGGCAGCATGATAAACTGATCAAATGATTTGAAAAACGCGTAAACAAACAAAGTTGATCAAGATTTGGTGTGTTGATTAATATTGATCCTATTTAAAATCTTAGCTTATTAGTAGATCTAATGTGTTAGCAATTATTCTGAGTATTATGTTCAGTGGTATCTTAGACTGTTTTGATTTTATACTAAGAGATAAGTAAAAGAAATTGCTATCATAAGTTTATTGAAGAGGTTGGTTGAATTAATTAACATGGTTCTGACGTCAAAGTAACTTTCAATAGATTCATAATCAACATACCATTTGGAGTTTACACACGTTACATACTATATTCAATGTAGAATTAGCAATGAGTGGAAAATCAACTCAAACTACGAGGATAATGTTTCGCTGGTACGATGTTCATTAACACATAAACTTGAATCTACTCGCTTCTGTTTTACTCACTTGTTGAATCACAATGTGAGTTTGTTCCCGTTTAATGTTGTGGGACTATTACTCATGCAATCGGAATTATCCCTTCGAATGTAAACCAAGCTTTTCTCAACAAATATTGACTTAATTATGTAATATGTATTACACATAGTTTCCTTATAGAAACAAGCATTATGCCTTTTGATACTTACCAAAGCTGTGGTGGAGGCTCAAAACGTATCGGCTCAAGTTACGTCGGATATGAAAGGTCAGTAGTTATTTCTCGACGTTCTCTACCTCGTTACAGTATCGCCCAACATTACACGAGCGATGACTGCTCTTTTCATTGTTGTATTAAAATAAACACAGATCCAACTTGTCATTCCTTCGCCCATAAAGTTGTACTTTCTCCTTGAAGGAAACCCAAAGTAATATTGCGCTGATTATATGAAGCTAAATAATCTAGATGTTGAGATTTGATTTTCTCAAGATTCGAGACTCAAAAGAATTTGTGTTCACCAAAGTATATTTCACACATCATGTAATGAATACTCTCAATAACACTGTAGTCTTTCATGTTCGGCGAAGTCACGATTATCAGGCTTCAACCGCAATGAACCTGTATCTGGGGTGAAGCTGTGTTTCCCTAAAACGGGAGATGTTTCGCCTTAGCGTCTGAGTATAAAAGCCTTTGCCGAAAACAATTGAAGTAAATGAAAACTCCAATTCTATTCTATATCCATTTATTTATAGTCGGATTTACATGTCTGTCTACCGAAGAGTGGAATACTCGGTTGAAAAACTTCCCAACGAACTATACTAGCCAATTGGCGACACAACTTATCGAATCAGATGCATATGGTGCTGCTTTCTTCAAACTAGACGATCAGTCAAAACTATCTGTAACAAAGTTCTATAATGGAAGTTGCTTTGACTTGAATGGAAAAGTAAAATCAACTCCAAATGATAACAGTCTTTGGCGATGGGCCAGTGTTACTAAAATGTTCACGTCTGCTTCTATTTTTCAACTTGTAGAACAAGGAAAAGTGAATTTGGGAGAACAGGTTACAAAATATCTGCCTTGGTTATCTGATAAATTGAAAAACAGAAACCTCACTGTTGATGATTTATTGCATCATTTGATTGGGACAGAAGACAGTTTGTATCTACCTCTCATGCCGTTCCCTGCTCAAGATGTCTCCATGAAAGATACGATCCAAAAGTTTTGGACAGCCTTCAACGCACCATCAGGATTGGACGGAGGGCCAACTTATTCAAATCTTGGTATAGATATTCTAGCAGCTATTGTGGAAGAAGTGGGTGGTCAAAAGTTTTCTGACTATCTTAAATCAAACATTTATGATCCACTTGGAACGAAGTCTCTTGGCTTCACCCATCAAATTGATAAATCCGGCAAGATGGATGATATATGTTATAGTTCCAAAGCGTCCAAAGATGAACCATACGATGTACCAAGTTTTGGTAGTGCTGCAATGATTTCAAATATGGATGACATGGCAACTTTTTTTGCCGCATTACTTCGAAATGGAGACAAGATTTTCAAAAAAAATGAAACTTCAGAATTATTCCGAAAAGCTCCTTCATACGCATATCAATTTGGAAGTGATGGATACCGAAATGGATGGGAATTTCAAGTCTACCGAGGAGTGGATGTTTGGACTAAAGGGGGTGATTTACCCGGCTTTCAATCTATTGCATTTATTATCCCACAATTCAATGAAGGAGGTGTGTTCTCTGGTACTCGATCACCAGGAGTGCGTGATATTGCGTTTGAAACCTATATGAATTTAACTCATCCAGAACTTTTACCTACAGGGATGGGTAGGCCATTACCTTCTACCAAAGATACAGTCGCTGCAGCAGCTAAAATGGCAGGTAACTATTATGACAATCGAAATCGTCAAAGCAGCGCAGCTTATGTCATGTCGTTGCTAGCTCCAAGTTACGGTATATCACCTGGAATTGATTCTTCCATTACATTATCTGTTGCTGGTAATGGTATTACGGCGTATCCTGTTATTGTAAACGGATCTTTACCCACCAATATGATTCAATATCAGTTCAACTTACAAAATAGCACAAAAACACTAACAGCAGTATTTGACAGGCCGTACAGTGATAGTGATTCTAAAGTGAAGCATTTGGTTATGATGGGTCAACAGACTCTTATTCGTCAACCACTTTTGTCAAGCTTGCCGATGGTATTATTGTTGCTCTTTGCCGAATTTCTATCGTACCTTCTTGCAATCCTACTTGGAATATTTTCAATCTATTATTTCATGTTCCGCAACCCAAAACGTCAAACACAATTAGATCAAATGGTAAATGGTGCATCCAACAATATGCAAAAACCAAAACAGTCAAAGATCCATACACAAATGTTTCTCAATTTTGGTCAGATCGGAGTTGCTTCAATAGCTTTTGCAATGTTATTGGTCTTTGTTTTGCTCATAATCAACTTCTCCCCTTTCAAAACCAGAACTTATATCTTGTTCATTGTAGTGTTGAACTATCTATATCTGTTTAGTGCGATTGCATTGCTGGCCTTTACTTTCTACCATATGAATTATAAACGACACGTTCTGGATAACATAAGGTGTTATCAAGGTAGTCTCTTGATTGTATTTTTCTCTCTTTTCATTTTGGGATTGATCGAAACTTGGCATTTGAATTGGTTTACTTTTAACATATGGTAATCATATATCTAGATATGGAAACACTTCTAATAAAGATATACCATTTAAAATATATGTGTTGTTCATTATATCCTTTTATCTAATCTATATCTCAAACTAATGTGATCTAAAGCTTATTCTAATGTACTTCAGTATTTGACACCTATCCATTTGAAATAAGGTTTCGGGACGAAATTTTTTGTAGGACGGATGGCCGAGTGGTCCAAGGCGTCAGCTTCAGGTGCTGATCTCGCAAGAGGCGTGGGTTCGAACCCCACTTCGTTCACTTTTGCAAGTCAGCGATTTTTAAACCTTTTTAAATTAATAATCTTTTACTTTAGTAGTCCAATTCCATTTTAAAAAACTGTTCAGTTTGTTTTAATGAGGATAATATCCATTCAAATGGGAAGGTCAATATTTTTTTGAGTTTCAGTTTTTTTACTGAACAGGAAATTCGAATGAATCCAAACAATAATCAACAGCTTCCTTCGAAAAGTGCTTACTTTAGTAAACACCCTCCCGTACAAGATCCAATCATTATCGTAGGATCGTCCCCAAATAGACCCTCAAATCATCCGACATCTAGACACCCAAGTACTGTCCTACCAAATAACTCCAATCTAAATGAATTTGAAAAAAATCAATCTATGGCCGATCTAGCAGCTCAACAGCTACATTTACAGCAGCAGCAGTTGCTCTTGCAATCGCAACAATTACAGCAGAATCAGTCATTGAATCTTAACTTGAATAACCCAATGTTGCAAAATCAAATGGCAGGTTCCAATGTATCACAGATGGCAATACAACAACAGTTGTTGCTACAGCAGGCACAATTAATGAATGCAAATCCAATGATGAATATGGGAAACCTTGGGGTGAACAATATGGGTATGAATGGTATAGGAATGAATAATCTTGCGATGAACAATATGGGTATCAATAATGGTGGATTCAACGTATCACAACATCAGCAGTTACTGTTGTTACAACAGCAACAACAATTACAACAACAACTGCAACTTCAACGGATGCAACAGCTTCAGCAAAATCAATATCAAATGATGCCTAATTATAATAATATTCAAATGGCTAATCCTACAAATCAATATGAAATGGATGCCCAAGCCAAGAGAAGAAAATTGGTCCGTAAAGCTGATATCCCTGTTGTGTCCAACACAAATAACAATATGTTTAGTATACCTGTGGCTCAAAGCACATACCAGAGTACACCACCAGCAACAGATTACTATGGACGATACTCCTCCTATAATGAAGATACTTCAACTCAAATTGATGTGGTCATTATGCTTAATTCAAGCACCGGGTCCGATCTAATTGAAATTTTGGGACTCAATGAGGACCAGGTGGCCATTGTGAAGACTTTAAGACCTATTCAATCTTACAATGGTTGGATTTCAGGTAATACTTTAATACTAATTCTCAGCCCCTGATATGAAGCCATTAGTGCGTCTTATTGAGAAATATGTTGTTATGATGGACGATTTTGGAACGGTCGATTCCGTAGTGTCCCAATGCAATAATGTGTCTTTAAATATCAAAAAGACTATGTATCAATGGGGACAAATACGAGCAGCCGAAAAAGCCAAGGCAGAAGCGTTGATCAAAGCAGAAAATGGAGATACGGAAGCGTTAGAAAAAGGTTTTAAAGAGTTTGATTTTGGTTAATATTTTTAAATAGCTAACAAAGATATGGAGAATTTACCAAAGCCGAAATTTGAGTGTTTGACTGTTCAACCAGACATTATTAACAATAAATTTACCCTGAAGCAATATCAATTGACTGGAATCAGTTGGATGCTGATGCTTCACGATCAAAAGTTAGGTGGAATTCTTGCTGATGAGGTGTGACTTTTCATAGACTAACATTTAGATGGGTTTGGGTAAAACAGCACAAGTATTTCATTATTGGAAAATTTTATGACGTTTAGGTATTAAAATTAGTTTTTGATTGTAGGTTGTCAGTTTTCTAGGACTTTTGAGTTTACAGAAAAAGATTGGACCACATTTGGTAGTGGTACCTTCATCGACGTTAGATAATTGGATGAGAGAGATCAATCAATGGTGTCCAACGCTTCATTCTATTGCTTACACAGGATCACAACCAGATCGTAGAGATATTCAGTCGGAGATTGAAGAAGCGCATTATAACATCATTGTGACTACGTAATATTCATTTCAATTTTATTCGATAGGTATAATATTGCCACCGGACATGCTGATGACCGTCGATTTTTAAGAGGACTAAAATGTCAAACTCTAATATTGGATGAAGGGCGTAATAATGATCTTTATTGACTCTATTAGATATGATAAAGAATGGTGAATCTCAAAGAGCAAAACATTTGAAAAACTTTAAAATTCCATTTCGATTATTGATCACCGGTACACCATTACAGAACAATTTGATGGAACTGGTTTCATTATTAACATTCATTATGCCTGATTTGTTTGAAGCTTGTCGTGAAAATTTTAATGCAATTTTTGATTTGGGAACTACAAAGCCCAGTGTCAAAGATTTGGATAACAATGTATCTGTACTACGTATCCAAAGAGCAACCAAGATCATGACACCCTTCGTGTTACGTCGTAGAAAAGATGAAGTAATTTATAATTTCTTATTCAATTACAGGTGTTGGGTGATTTACCTGCTAAAACGCAAGTGATTGAATATTGTAAGCAAAGTCCGGAACAGAAAAAATTATATCATGTATATCAATAATCATGTAACGGTTAGGAAATTATGATGAGCTCTAAGAAAGCCTTCTTGGATAAGAATGATGGAGGTGCATTAGATATCTGGAAGCAACCTGATCAGCGTAAAAAGGAGAATGAAAGTCAATCAAAATTGTCTAATGTATTGATGCAATTGCGAAAAGTGACCAATCATCAGTTGTTGGTTCGAAACATATACAACGATGAGAAGTTAGCACAGATGAGCAAAGATATAGTCAATGTAATTTATCTATTTTGATGTGATAGGAATTGGATTATGTAGATAGTAATCCGGAATATGTTCTCGAAGATATGTCTTTTATGAGTGATTTTGCCTTACATAAGCTGTGTCGAAACTATGAGGTACAGATCCAGATTCAATTAAATATTAGAGAATGAAAGAGTATGTATTGGAAGAAAAGGATTGGATGAATGGCGGGAAAGTTGAAGCTTTGAAACGGTTATTGCCAGAGATGAAAAAGAATGGTGACCGTGTGTTGATATTTAGTCAGTTTGTAATTATGTTGGGTAAATGGTTTCAGGACTATTAATATTATAGATATACTGGAAGTCATAATGGCTACATTAAATATGAAATTTTTACGGTTAGATGGATCCACACCTAGTGCTGAGCGACAAGGATTGATTGACGAATATAATCAAAACGATGATATCACTGTTTTCCTATTATCTACCAAAGCCTGTGGATTAGGAATCAATCTCACATCTGCCAATGTAGTTATATTGTATGACATTGATTTCAATCCTCATAATGATGCCCAAGTAACTTCAATCATAAATTAATTATATTAGGCGGAAGATCGGGCTCATCGAGTAGGTCAAACCAGACCAGTCAAAGTATACAAACTTATCACCGAAGGAACAGTTGAACAACGTAATCATTCAAAATTTTAATATCTAGATATGTTGACTTGTGCAAATTATAAATTATTGTTGGATAAGAAAGTTCAAAACCGTGAAAAGGATACAGAAACCTCTTCTTCAAGTTCCAAGAAGGATGATGAAATTGTGGAAGATTCAAGATTATTGCAAATGTTACATAAGGATATGTTGTTGGAACAAGATTAATACTTGAAATATATCTACATTACTTTATTTTTGTTCTTAGGAAATTTAATATTTCTTTATGAAACTGAATTTGAGATCACACGTCCCAATAATTCAATCAGCAATAAACCTATTATGCATTGCATTGTTACTTGTACATTCATTGAGTCATAATGTCAAAAAACACGATGCAAATGTGGTGTGGTTTCACCAACTGAACGTGGATCATGTGAAAGGAAAGTTCAAAATGATTCAAACTGATTCAAACTTTTCAATCCGGATATAAATGCAAATCAAATAAGGATCAAATTTATAAAACCAATGGTCGTTACAGAAGCAAATCCAATTGTACAAACAGGAATAACCAAACAATCCAAGGCAACTCAAGATCAACCACTCGTGGTTTGGTTTGAAAATTGTGATATATCTCATGTACCAATGGTTGGAGGAAAGAATGCTTCACTTGGGGAAATGATTCAATCGTTAACCAAATTTGGGGTGAACATCCCTGGTGGGTTTGCAACAACTGCTCATGCCTTTCGAACGTTTATGAAAGATACTGGTTTAAATGATATTATTCGTGATATCTTAAAAGGATTGAATCATTCGGATGTTACTCAACTTCGTAAAGTTGGACAAGATTGTCGTAATGCTATTCTTTCCAAAGATTTCCCTAAACAATTAAAAGATGATATCACTACTTCTTATTTGGAGATGTGTAAACGTTATTCCGATAAACAAGGGAATGACTATACTTTAATTGATGTTGCTTGTCGTTCATCAGCCACTGCCGAAGACCTTCCAAATGCATCTTTTGCAGGACAACAAGAAACATTTCTTAACGTGAGATCAGTAGAAGGTGTTTTGGAAGCCTGTAAGAAATGTTATGCATCCCTATTCACCGACCGTGCCATTTCATATCGTGTCAATATGGGATTCGATCATAATCAAGTTGCTCTGTCTGTTGGAGTTCAATATATGGTTCGAAGTGATTTAGCATCATCTGGTGTGATGTTCTCAATTGATACTGAAAGTGGTTTCAAAGACACTGTGTTGATTAATGGTTCCTATGGATTGGGTGAAAATGTAGTACAAGGTAAATGCAACAGTCACGATTAACGTTTTTTAGGACATGTAAATCCAGATGAGTTTTTGATTTTCAAACCCACATTACGTGATGGATTCAAAAAACCAATCTTGGAAAAGAAACTTGGGTCAAAAGAAATTAGAATGGTTTATGATATGGGTGGTTCCAAAACAGTCAAGAATATCCCAGTTCCTCAACACGAACGAATCAAATTTTCAATTACTGATGATCAAATTATTCAATTGGCCAAATGGGCTATCATTATCGAAGATCACTATTCAAAGAAACATGATCGATTTTGCCCAATGGACATGGAGGTAATGGTTCTTTATCATCTTATTCTTTAGTGGGCCGTTGATGGTCAAACAAATGAATTATTTATAGTACAGGCAAGACCA